GGGGGGGGATAGTGCACATTCATTTTATTTTCAGAATGAATTAATTGTCTTAATAATTAATCATCTCATTGAAGGAGTTATCTTGTAGTGCAAATGGATTTTTCCAATATAAATTACACCATAATTGTCTTTTCTTTTCCTATTATGTTGACATGTAAGTTAGGTTTGGCATTAAGTCAATTAGGTTGGTGTGTTCCTTTCTTCTGAACTAAGTCTTCTTAAAGGCAGCAAATTGTTGTTAAATGGTCAATTAATAGTTGATAATCATGGAAACTTATCTCTGAAGTGAGGCCATACCTGTTTTACCCGGTGTCTGTCATGTTTACTAATTATCTCATAATATATTTTACAGGCAGCTGCCCAAGATATTTAATCGGTTCCCTAGTGCGGACGGCTTTTTATTTGTTGAAGATGATACCGTTCTTAATTACTGGAATCTACTACAGGCAGACAAGGCTAAGCTATGGATTACAGATAAGGTACGTAAGCCTTCTCGGTTAGTATTTTATTTCTTTGGTGCCTACTCTTGATATGTTCTTTTAAATATTTAAAACAAATTTTCATTAGTAATTTTTGTCCCTAGGACTTTGGGTTTTATCTATTTCTTTTAACCATTTATAAATGATTATATATTGTTCTGGTAAGTATTTGTGATTTGCAATAGATTTGCCATTTAATGAAGGAAGCAGTTTCCATTGTCATAAAATTGCTGATCATGAATAACTAATGAGTCGTCGTTATTATTTTTCTTCTTAATTCGATGTGATTTAGGTACCTATGTCTTGGTCAACCGAGACAACCAAAGAAAATTCGGATTGGTATTCAAAGCAAGCAGACATGGTCAACAAAGTTGTTAGTACAATGCCAGTTCACTTCCAAGTAAACTATAAAGAAGTAGTGCAGAATGAGCAGAGCCTCATAATTTGCAGTTCCGAGATATTCTATGTTCCTCGGCACTTTGTGGCTGACTTCGTTGATCTCGTTAACCTGGTCGGGAAATTAGATATCCATCAAAAGGTTGCTGTACCCGTGTTCTTTCTGTCGATGGATTCACCCAGGAACTTCGATTCGGTGCTGAGTACAATGGTGTATAAGCAAGATCTACCTTCAACTAATTCTTCTTCAACGCATTATTCGGCACAAGCACCGGCAGTTCATCCATGGAAGGTGTCGAGTGAAGAGGAGTTCATAAAGCTAATAAGAATAATGGCGGAAGGTGATCCCCTCCTAATGGAATTAGTTTGAAGGTGACAAATTTGTTTGACAACGAAGAAATATGGTTGGATGAGGACCACTTTTGTAACTGTAATACCAAACACTGTTTTTTGTTTTTTGTTTTTGGGGATGGTGGGGTGGTTTCCTTGATTCTTTTATGGGGAAGGAGACTTCTTTGTAGATGGTTTACCTTTGTATGATTCTTTTACTGATTGGAGATTCCCTCTAAAGGTCTCATTTAAATAGTTGCAAAGTCTTCTTTTTTCCCCTTAGCTGCAAACTATGTTGAAATTCGACCATCAAATTTATTAAAAAGACCTTTTTTTCCATTAAACAGCCGCATGTCGTGCCATGTTTTGTGTCCGAGAATATGCAATCGGGACGAAGTATGATTTTATGTTAGGAGGAAACATATTTATAAAAAATTTCAAAGGCGGGGACTGGGTATGGAACATGGCGACTCTGCTTGGTGTAATGAAGGATCATATTTGGTGGTGAGGTCTAACATGCAGCGAAATTGTAGGTCGATTGCACCACATTTGCGTGCATAGGCAGATGGCAATGTCGAAGGGCTATAATAGCATGAGAAAGTCATGTACGTGGCTTGGCAATGTGAGGTGAGCTTGCATCAAGGGTTCTCCAAGTGTTGGAAGATTTGTCATTTTCATCACATTCTGATTAGTGGCGGAATATAATGCAGATTAGTAGGGGTAACGGTCCTCATAAAATTTGAAAAATTATAATCTAGACCTTTAAAATTTTCAAAATATTTAATTTGTCATTCACAAAATTTTTAGAAATTCATATTAATCTTTAAATTTTTTGAATAGTCTTAATTAAATCCCTTCCATAATTTTTAAATTTTTCGTTAAGCCTCTCAAATTTTCAAAATTTTTAGTTAGATCCTAATTTTAAAAAAATGTAAACTTAACCCTTCAAAATTTTTGAAAATTTAATTTAAAATTTTAAGTGATTTACCAAACTCTGTCATCAAATTTCGCCACTATTACCAATCTAAAAAAACATTGGGTGTGAGGCTTTGTTGATTGAAATTGATAAAATCCGAATAGGGTTGTGCAAGAATCTTAAGGATTGGCTCCTCTTGTCCATAAGCAAATATCTAGATGAAATCATTTTTTTCGATAAATTTAGGATGAATATAATGTAGTATTTGTTTAAAAATTCTTAATCATTTAACAATAAATGTTTATACCCATATAAACGAGGTATTCAAGTTTAAGACCTCAAAAAATAATAATAAATTCTTTAACCAGTAAGATCTTTAGTACGTACAAAGACAATAGATTCAAAAATCGACATAGAGGGACAACTATCAACATCAAACGTTATTCAGCCAAAAGCATAATGGGCTCATATTTAAACCGATCCCCAAATTCAAGCCCACATCAAGCAAGCCCAAATTCCATAGTTAGACAAATTAATTTTTGTATAAATTTTGATTGAATGAATGTAAACTGATCATAACTAAACATGAAAATGAATTAAATGAGAATCTAAATACATTCAAAAATATATATTTTTTATAATTAATTGGATTTATTAAAAACACCAAATAATTAATCGAATTAATTCATTCCGATCAATTAATTTACTCTCAATCAATTTATGAGCTCCCTACCGATATCTGGAATATGGAAACAGTGGATGCAACATACCAACTGTGCATTATTACTATCCATCCAAAGTTGTTTCTCTCTCTCTCTCTCTCTTATGTCTCCATGATATATCATGTGATAATGGCCTAAAAGTGTAATGGTTCAAAAAAAGGAAAATGACCTAAAAGTTTAATGGTCTTTGTTGTCTTTTTAAATGGTCCTTGTATGAGTTGGCTTTTCTCATTTCTTATTCCTATTTATTTGTTTTTTAAAATGGGGTCAAACTCGTCATCTCATGTGACTTTTTTCTTCTTTGTTTTTGTGTTATTATGACATTTTCTTTTAAAATGTCCCATACCATATTTGATTTTTCTTAAGTTTTACAATCTTATTTTTTTATTAAAAAAGTATACATTTTTGTTTCCAAATTTAATTTAATGCGATATCTATAAACTAATAATTAAATTTTAAATTTATCTTTATTTCAAAAAAGTATAATTTTTTGTTAAAAACTTAATTTAATGCGATATTTATAAATTAATAATTAAAATTAAATCGTTTGATATAATCGAAGAAATATGAACAAATAAATTTGATAGAGGACTAATAAAACAATTGGTAAAAATTAATGGGACAAAGAAAAATTTGACTCTCCTAATATCCCTATAAAATTAACATCTACAATATAAATCTCAAAATATTGTAGAGACTATAAAATATTACATATCTCTAAAATAATTATTTTCTACAATTCTAAGGGTACCTACACCATATTTATAGAGTCAAATAGTTGTTCAATAAAAAAACTTAATTCCATAAAGGTTTCATTATCTAAAATAAAAATTGACTCATTAAATAAAATCAATTATTAAAGAATCTCCAACGACTAGAATTACAATCAGGCCCGACCCAATACATGTGTCAGATGAGCCTTAGCCCAGGACAACATGTTTGAGGGAGACATCAGTTTTCTAGTGCTTATAGTATATATATATATATTTGGCCCAAAAATTAGCCCAAAAAATTAGATTTCTATTACATTTTTGTTTAAAAAATTATTTATGTTTTGGTACAAGTATATGAACATAAAATTATTATCTCGCTCAGGACATTAAAACTCATTGTACCGGCCCTGATTACAATAAGATTTAACTTAATCATTAATTAAAATTCGAGTCGATATTTAACAATAGTAAATATCATATAAAATTATAACCTGACATATTATTTTTGAAAGTCCTTAATCGACATAAAAATCGTAATAATAAATATTTTTTTAAATTTTATTTAATACATAAAATTCTAATCATAACACTTTAACCATATTTTTGAATTATTAAATTTTTAAGAGTAGAATAATAAAAAAAATATAATAATATCAAAGTATTAATAAACGATTTATTCAAAACTGTTAATGAATAATGAATAAAAATATTTTAATTTTATTAATAGTGAATGAAAAATATTTCCAAAAAAATAAATCTAATAATAATAGCATATAAAAACAATATATTTAATAAATACTAAAACGATATAGTAAAATTATTATTACTTATTTAATCATGATTATAATTAAAATCTTGACTATTAAAAATATAAATAAAATCTGAATACATTCAATAAATATTGTTATTTGTTAATAGAGTTAATTGTATTATACATCCTCAAGATATAAAGCTCAATCTAAATTGGTCCTCAAACTTTTGAATATTCCAATTTCACCCCAAACTTTGATTTTCACTTTAAATTGATCCTCAAACTTCTCAACATTTCAAATTCATCCTCAAGATATAACCTTCATTCTAATTCAGTCCCTAAACTTTTGAACAATCCAATAATGTCCATCAAAATCATTCAAAAGTTTTGGGTGAAATTGGAATATTCAAAATTTTAAGGACAAAACTAGGACCCCCATTGTAATTTGGTCCTTAAAATTTTGAATATTCCAATTTCACCCAAAACTTTTGAATGATTTTGATGGACATTATTGGATTGTTCAAAAGTTTAGGGACTGAATTAGAATGAAGGTAATGCTAATTGAGTAAAAGTTCCATCCAATCAATGCTATGGTCACCGGATATTTTTACAACAAAGTTAACGATTTTTGTTGACCTAAAAACCCTTCCTTTCCTTCTAAACATAATATTTTCTCTCTATTGCTTCTTCTTTCGGCTTTTAAGTTCCAACCACAATTCATTCATTCATATTTCAGTTGCAAATCTCGGAGAAGTCTGAGAAAAATGAATATATAAAGTTGGAGAGATAAACAATCAGCAGAACACATGACGATACCGTTGCAATAATTCACCTTTTTTTTTCTTTCCCAACATCTTCCCTTTTATTTTTATTGGCCTACTCTGCTTACTCCAAGAGGGGGAGAGATATTTCTCAAGGTACCCTTTTGCCTTCATCACCATCTGTTTCTGTTTTTCTCTTCTTGGTATCATCAAACTCTTTGCTTTGTTGGGTTATCACTCATTTGGATCTCCATTTTTTGGTTTATGTTTTCATGTCTGCTGATATGGGTATGCTTGATCTTGTCTAAACTTTAATGCCTTTTTTTTTCTTTTTTCCTTAACTCTTGTTCTGATCTGATTGTCTGCTTGTTAAAGCTTTATTCTCACAAAGTGAGTTTGAGAGAAGTTAAGAATTCAGTTTTTTTTTGCAGGGGTTTAGAAATGGTTTAATTTGTTTTTGTCACCAAGCATTATAGAATTTAGATTAACAGATCTTAAGTTGAATTAAGTTTTGAAAGGTTGTTGGGTTCTTCATATTCAGTTTATCATTGCTTTTTGATCCCGTGATTGATCATGTAAATTGCTGCTTGAATTGCCTATCAATGGCACTAATTCTAAAATTCTGTTGCTGCCTTCTGATTATTTGTGTGATCAAATAAAAAAAACTTTGCTTTCCTCAAAGTCCTCATTTGATTGATGTTTGTGCCAAGTTTCGAGCAAGATTGATTAGGGTATTCTCCTAAGAGCATGCGACAACTGCAAGCAAACGTTTGGAACTTAGTTTGTAGTATAAGTGGTCTTCTGTTATAATACAATTAAAATTAATGATAATTGGTTTAAAGAATGTCAGTTTATCTTATTTAATTTTTTTTTTGGCCAGAATAATATGAGATTATTTATTATTAAATTCCATATTATGTGAAGTTGTCAAATGTGTGCATATGGAAATATGCCTTTTTTTTAGTTTATATAGGAGGTGCTGGTTTGAGATCTGCTTTCAATTATTTGAACTTTATCTTGATGTTTTGAATTCGGCAAGGTGTGATGCATAGGCAGAACACGTCATTCATGTTTACACAAGCTGAAAATTTGCTCTTAATCTTTCATATACTGGTGTGGAATATAAAATGTGTTATATGAGATTTAACTTTATGGTAGACTAAATAATTCATGAAGCATTTTGACTGGAACGGTAGATCTGGTTTTGAAAGGAAGATATACATTCTTAAGACTTTAGTCTCTTCCTTCTGATGTGGATCAAGTTCCAGACATTAATTTATGGAGAAAAGAAGATATACCTTGAAAGAAGGTCATGGGTAAGACAGGATTCAGCTACTGAGATTGTTAATGTTGTTTAGAATTGTTTTACTTAGAAGCAATACATGTCAAGTTGGCTGCATTGCTTGCTTGGACACATAAAGACTTTCTGAAATTTCTTCATGTAGAATCCAATCAACTGCTGTTTTACCATCACCTCTCACCGCTCCATCAACATTGAATTTAAAGAAATCAGTAGGAGGCGGAGACCAGTAGATAGCCTTTTTGACTTTTATAGGATTTAGTAGGAAATCTATCTGCCATCAACATTCGAATCCTTTTTGATTGTGCTGTTATAACAAGAAACACTTTTTTCTGCTATGGCTCAGATTGTTACACTGTTGTACTTTGTTTTCTGCTTATTAGTGCAATGTGAAATAGGAACATAATGTTAATCAACTAAAATTATTGTATGCATTGATTCAAAGTTTTTTTATTAATATTTTGTACTGTGACTTAATTTTTGAGTGCATAATAAAATACATGTATTTCTCCAGTAAGTTTTGTGCAATTTCCTGACTCGTGCAGGTTGGATTCTCAAGTTGATCTATTATATTTTTGCTTGATAAAACTTCGAAAAATAACTCTGAGAAATGTCTAGCCCAGCAAAAGTTCAGGATCCTGCATTTCAAGGAGTGGGTCAAAAACCGTATCCTTAAGATGAAGGGGCATATAATGAGTTGTGAATTCATGTACTTGAGATTTTTATAACATTTTCTTTATATAAGAGTATATATATTTATTTAAACATAACTTTTGATAAGAGAGACCATAATCAATTATTTTTCCAACACCACCTCAAAAATAAAAAATGACACATGCTTTTTGTTTTCTTGTTGAGATGTGTGCTTATTGATTTATTGATTTATTTATGCATGCATTGTATTTTATCTTTATTTTTAATTATCTTACTGCCGGAGGTCTTCCACGGAAGCTGCTCTCAATCTGGCGTTGGGGGCAGCTTACTACCCCACCTCCCCCTTACCCATTTGCATATGGGAATAGGGTTTTGTTGTTGTTGTTGATGTGTGCTTATGTTCCATATACATATATATGCTACGAGTTTTTTGCAAAGACTGTTGCACTTGACATCTTATAGTGGGACTGAAATCTGGCGTATTGAGAATTTTCAGCCAGTTCCGTTGCCAAAGTCTGACTATGGAAAATTCTTTATGGGGGATTCTTATATTGTCTTACAGGTGAAGATTCTGTTTCTCTCTTGTTTTCTCTATTTTTTGTGGACGCTCACCGCTGTACATGCGTTTTTACCTTGTTCTGGGCCAAGATAAATCATTCGAGGTGATTTACTACTTTTTTGTAATGTCTCAGTCACTTCTTTTATATGCTATTTTTGTAGACAACATCTAGCAAGGGTGGTTCATATCTATATGATATACACTTCTGGATTGGTAAAGATACTAGTCAGGTGAGTTTTCACTGCATCTACTTTTACTCTTCTTAATTTGTTCAGGCTTTAAATGTGCCTTCAAATGAATTAAGATATCTTTCGAGATCATTTCGTCACGTGCAGGATGAGGCTGGAACAGCTGCTATCAAAACTATTGAGCTGGATTCAATACTAGGAGGGCGTGCAGTGCAGCACAGGGAACTTCAAGGCCATGAATCTGACAAATTTTTGTCATACTTTAAACCTTGCATTATCCCATTAGAAGGTGGCATTGCTTCTGGATTTAATAAGGCAGAAGGAGAAGAGTTTGAAAAGCGGTTATATGTCTGCAAAGGAAAGCGAGTTGTCAGATTGAAGAAGGTATCCGATGTTCACTACATATGTTTGATGAGTATGGATAAAAAGAAGGAAGAAACAAAAAGTTCCTTGAACTAATTATATAGCATTTAATGAGATTATTGAGGATCAACTGAATACCATTTTGTGTTATGCCCTGCAGGTTCCTTTTGCTCGATCTTCATTGAATCACGATGATGTATTTATCCTGGACACTCAGAATAAGATTTATCAGTTCAATGGTGCAAACTCTAATATTCAGGAAAGAGCAAAGGCATTAGAGGTTATTCAGTTCTTAAAGGAAAAGTATCATGATGGAACGTGCAATGTTGCAGTTGTTGGTAAGGGTTTATGCATATAAAGGATCAACAATGCTGTTCCCCCCCCCCACTTTTCCACTAATCTATGAATACTAATTGAATTGCGTGAAAGGTTTATTTATTTTACTCTGAGTTCGGTACATTTTGAATATATGCATTAATGTAATCACCCTGCAGATGATGGCAAATTGGACACTGAGTCCGACTCTGGTGAGTTTTGGGTTCTGTTTGGTGGTTTTGCTCCACTAGGAAAGAAAGTTCACAGTGAAGATGATGCTATTCCCGAGACTACTCCCGCTAAACTTTATAGGTATTTTTATGTTTTTTTTTTACTGGTTGCGAAATGAAGATTGTGCCTTTAAAATTTTGCTAGAATTAGATGCAAATACTATGCATCTTTTTATATGTTGGTAACTATAATTTAGTTTCTTAGTGATTGCAATCAGATTACTAGATCATAATAGAAAATTAAGCAACTGTTCATGAATTTGGAAGACCAAAATAAGACTTATAACTTGTTTTTTCGTTGTTGCGAGCACACATCAAAGACTTTTTTATGTACTTGAAATACTTAAGCTTTTACATATTTATGTATCACATTTAATTTGTTACCTCCATATAACAGTTCTTAAACTCAAGCTGTTCTAATGTAGCAAATATAAACCCTAGCTTCTTTTAATGGAGTTATGGTAACTATTACCTATTAATTCAACCTTTAAGCTCCTCCTTTTTAGTTTATCCAATTTGTTCAATATGTTATGATTCTCATATGCTTTGGAATCCCAAGCAATTATCTTTATGCTGCAAGAAATCCAAAATCATGTTTTTTAATGTGTTATCGAGAATGTTGTGATTAGGAGAAGTCACGAGACTGTGTAGGTTGAGATTAGCGTTATTTTATTCATACACTTATGTCAATTGCCTTTGTTCTTTTTCAAAAAGGAAAAGGAGACAAGGATATTTAGAGTGGGCCTTAGAAAGCCTTTATGTGTTTAGACAATTTCTCTGGAGAGAATAAATTAACTTATTAACCTTAGAGTTTCTTCGGACAGCTTTAATACTACTTTTATGGTCACCGTTGTTATATGTAATGTAGGTGAACTGAACTATTTTTTTTCATATGCTTATTTTAATACAGAGCATATTTTTGGTGCCTTTTTTAAGTAGGCTGTTGAAAACTTTTTGGTTGAATATTATTTCTGTTATTATTGTATTTGGAGGTATATCCCTTATCAATTGCCAATTTGGAATCACTGGTTTCTGTAGCATAACTGATGGTGAGGTGAAGATCGTAGGAGGAGAATTATCAAAAGGCCTACTGGGAAACAACAAGTGCTATATACTAGACTGTGGTGCTGAGGTTTTTGTATGGATTGGACGGGTGACACAAGTAGAGGACAGAAAGGCTGCCTGTCAAGTTGCTGAGGTAGAGCTTGAGGCAAGATATTGATTTATTCATGTATTTTAAGAACATGAATTCTCATTCTCAACCTTTTATCTCCAGGACTTTGTTGGTGGCCAGAAAAGACCAAAAACAACCCGCATTACCCGTGTTATCCAAGGGTATGAAAATAATTCATTCAAGTCCAACTTTGATTCTTGGCCGGTAGGGACCACAACTGTTGGTGCTGAGGAGGGAAGAGGAAAAGTAGCTGGTAGGGATCAATTACTAAGTTACAAATTACACTTATATTTTGTGGTTAATATTGGTGAATGGTGTTTTTTTATATCTAGCTTTGCTGAAGCAACAAGGAGCTGGTGTCAAGGGGATGACCAAAAGTGCTCCCGTAAATGAAGAGGTTCCTCCTTTGCTTGAAGGCAGTGGAAAGATGGAGGTCGAGTTAATAGTCTGCTTGGGTTTTGCCAGTTGACTTAAAAGATCAAATCTCTTCGCTCAAATACAGTGTTGCTTATTTTTCAGGTATGGTGCATCTATGGCAGTGCCAAGACACCATTGCCAAAAGAGGATGTTGGTAAATTCTACAGTGGAGACTGCTACGTTGTGCTTTATACCTACCACTGGGGTGAGAGGAAAGAAGATTACTTCCTATGCTGTTGGATTGGAAAGGATAGCATTGAGGTAATTTTTGTTGTTCTTAGTTGGTATGAAATTTCACAATATGCCCTTCCCCATTCAGTCATTCACCTTCTACTCTCTGTTCATGATAGAACTTACAGTCACATAGCAAGGTGAAACAGTGGAATTTGATGTTAAAATAGTATGGACTAGAGTGCCGCCAATATGAGCTGCTTGTCATTACTAAAATAATATGAGTGCCTACAACTCCTGGAATTTAAGAGTTGCCTTCATAATTTCATGCACATTGTAAAGTTGGATTTCCACCTAGTTTGGATTCTTAAGCTGCCAATTCATTTATCATTAGTTTTTGTCTATTTTCAAGATTGAAGCACTTCCAATTGCATCGGATCTGAGGCCCCTCTTTTTTCCATTCTCTCATGTTTTTATATAGAAGAAAGAGATGCTAATGTAGTTACATCTGAAATTGATGGACCATTATTCTGGTGATGTCCATTCCTGCTATATTATTGCTAAAAGTATACATATTTCTTAAATCAGGAGGACCAAAAGATGGCTGCTCGGTTGGCTAATACAATGTTTAACTCGCTTAAGGGGAGGCCGGTTCAGGTATCATATTACCTTTGACTGAATAACAATATTCTAATGCTTGTGTTGCTAATATATGCTTCTTGCAGGGTCGGGTGTTTGAAGGTAAAGAGCCGCCACAGTTCATTGCACTTTTCCAACCTATGGTGGTCCTTAAGGTATTCGATTTAACCTCAAAATTTAGAATCTCATTTCTAACTGCCTGAGGGTCTTTGGTTTAGAATTGGATGGTATTGACTATTTTTCCTATGATTGATTCCTATCTAGGGTGGTCAAAGCACTGGTTATAAAAAGAGTATCGAAGACAAAGGCTTGACAGATGAAACCTATACTGCAGATTGTGTTGCTCTATTTCAAATTTCAGGAACCGCTGTGCACAATAATAAAGCACTGCAAGTTGATGCTGTATGTATTAGTTGGTTATTTTGTCAATTTCCCCCCGTCATATCATGTTTGCTGGGTTTTGCATTTCCAGTGCATGAATGTTTTTCCCTTGAAACTTACATACAAACCACTAGTTCAGTTTTTTTTTTTGCATGTAAGTACATTTTAGACCCTAACATTTCCTGTTGACACCATTAAGTAGAACCTTGTTTGATGCAACATGTTTTTCAATTTGAACTGAAAAGTTGATAGTTGAACCTCTGTTTGATTTTGAGTAGTTTTTTAAGTTCGGCAAGTTAACAGGCAAACAATTGAATGCTTCTATTTTCTTTTCCCAATGAGGAATTGTTTCTTTCATCGACAAGATTTGATGCATCGAAAAGATATCTCATTGTTTTGTTCTAGCTTTAATGACCTTGCCTATCTCAAATAATTTGAGATTTTTTTTTCATTTATTTCTGGAAGTAGTGTGATTAATCTCTTCCAATCACACTTCCAAAAGCATTATATTATTCATAATTTGATGCATCAAAAAGCATTATAGTATTCATCTTGTCTATTGAAGTTTCCATCCCTTCTGCTATTCTCTCAAGCAATGAAGAAAAATCCTTTTGCTATGATTTTACTAATTATAATGTGACATTATTTATTTAGCCAGTCGAAGCTTACTCATAATGTCCTTGACTTTTAGTTCATTAATGCTATAAAAGAAATTTGTTTTCCCCTGCTAACATATCTTATTTGCCAATACATTTATGAGACGTTGAAAAGCAGAGAAGGGGACAAATGCAATCTTCATTCTTTCTCCATTCGATGCAAGCTAATTTATTTGACATCAAATTTGTCAGGATGATTTTATTCCAGCAGTTTGTTGTCATGCTGTGTGCAACACGGTTATTCCTTTCGTAACCTAACATCAATGCTTTCTTTTTTTTTAAAAAAAACTTTTATTTAGGTGGCAACATCATTAAACTCAACTGAGTGTTTCCTCTTGCAATCTGGATCTTCAATTTTTACTTGGCATGGGAATCAAAGCACTTTAGAACAGCAGCAATTAGCTGCAAAAGTTGCAGAGTTTCTGAAGGTATATTCCTTATACAAGTTACAATCTAGAATCTAAATTCCACCAATTCAAGTTGATTAATTAATACTAAAGAATGTAATAACAGGAATATATGCCATATATCATGTACTAATCAAATGGTAAGATTTAATTCTTGTAATGATAACAGAACTCTTTTTAGTGTTCTAGATAAGTTTTTGTTTGATCACAATTCAGCTTATTGTACCTATTTTCTTCTTTTTGGGACATAGTTGTTTAGGTATTTGCAATTTTCTCCCTTCTGAATATATTCTGAATACATTGTGAGGCATGATAAAATATACTGAAAATTAAATATTTAGTTGTTGTATTTAATCTCTTGTACATTGTATATTTCTAGAAGGCATTTTAGTTAGGATTTTCTACTAAATATACTGAAAATTCAGCACTATCTATTTCTTTCATGCAACTCCTTCACCCATTTCAATCAATCATATATTCATCTTCTTTTGCATTCAGCCTGGAGGTTCTCTTAAACATGCTAAAGAAGGAACAGAGAGCAATGCCTTCTGGTCTGCACTTGGGGGGAAACAAAGTTATACCAGCAAAAAGGCATCTACAGAGACTGTCAGGGATCCCCACTTGTTCACTTTCTCTCTAAATAAAGGTGTCTTTTCTTATTTATGATTGTGATTTGCTTAAGTTGTTAATGAAGCTTATTACCATTCTAATTGTTATTTCCATGATTTTGTCTTCTTCTACATGGACACCTCAGGAAAGTTTGAGGTGAGTTTTTAATGATGTAATTTTACTCTCATTCCTACAGGCATCCAAGTTTCTTCTATGTATAAACTTTCATTTCGTTGTGCAGGTTGAGGAAGTTTACAATTTCACTCAAGATGATCTCTTGACAGAAGACATTTTGATACTTGACACACATGCTGAAGTGTTTGTTTGGGTTGGTCAATCCGCGGACACCAAAGAAAAGCAAAATGTTTTTGAAATTTGCCAGGTATAAATAAAACAGTGATTCCTTCATTCTATAATCTTTCCAATACACACGTTATTCATTTTAGAAGTTATTTGCAGAAATATATAGACTTCGCTGTGTCTCTAGATGGTTTGTCTCCGAATGTTCCACTTTACAAAGTTTCTGAAGGAAACGAACCCTGCTTCTTCACAACATTCTTTTCATGGGATTCCACCCGAGCCATTGTATGTGTCCATGACTGGATTTTTATACTTGTTCTTTTGATTTACTGTCACTTCAATTAATGTTAAATCATTTTTGTATCATTTTCATCTTCATCAACAAGAAATTATGAGAATTCCTATTTTCAGCTTGTTGATTCAAAGTGGGAAAATATCTAGAATCTGTATTGTTTCAACCAACGCAATTATTTTCTAACGAGGAAATGTTTGAATAGTTTAATGTAGAGTCTGTATAAGACTAAATAACCATTTAATCACACCTTTAGCCATCAGATGTACCTGTTTTCGCATGTTTTATTTTCCTTTGCACTAAATAAGAATAGTAAAATGAGGAAAAATAAGAAAACTTTAGAGCAGCTGTGAGGTTCAGGAAGTAAAAAGTCAATGCATAAGGTATAAAATTCAGATTGAATTGATAGAGCCCCAATGATCGAAAGTAGGATTCCATGCATTATGATGATGTATTGATATTGTATGGACCAGAGATGGAGTTGACTAGAATAGTGTAATGTGTTTTAAGAAACTACCATTGAATTCTTCAAAAATTTGAAATTTAAGGATTTTACTTATGCGAGTTTCTTGCATCTTGAGTGATATCAGCGTTATAATGTTGATGCCACTCACAATGGACCCGAATAAGAAATAAATACAGTTGCTATTATTTCTGTACTCACTGAAATTTGTGACACCCTTTTTTGTTTTCAAGGGTGGATTAACAGAGATTTGACTGACATGATTCATCCTTTTCATGTATGTCGTATTCAACTTTGTCTTTTTGATATTTATGCTTAGATATGCTCCGTGACACAGGTGCAAGGAAACTCATTCCAGAAAAAGGTGGCATTGCTCTTTGGAGCTAGTCATTCTGTAGAGGCAAGTTCTTTCCTTAGTTCTCATGAAGTACAAATTTTAATGGTTGAAGTTTCTGTCTGTTCTGAGAAATTTGGATCATAAAAAAAAATCTAACTAGGGTTAATTTTCAAGGCTCCTTGTATGGAAAATAACTTATTATCAATCTATGAAATTTTGATGGATTAAGAGCTAGGATAGAATTGTGATAAATGTTAAACCTTTTGCCTTTCAATTTCAATTCTTTTCGGCTTCCTGTTTATCTTATTATGGTCTTTTAACAAGTTAAAAAAAGTCATTAGTTTTTAATTCCTTGTTGATTTCAGTAACCATTTTTTATTTTAAGCAAAATTTTACGATGAATGAAAATTGGTAGTGTTTGCTCCTAAGGTGGAGCCTTGATCCCGACCTTGTAGTCTTTCTTGAGGTTGACGATTTGTATTGGTAAATTAAGGACAAGTGATATTATGCCAAGTTTGTAGATAATTCCTTGGTCTCTCTTTTCTCAAAAGGAAAAACAATTATATTTACTATATGTACTAGTTCCCTGACTGATGGATTCCATGCTCTGCTGAGACAGGTCAAGTCCAATGGAAACCAAGGGGGTCCCACTCAAAAGGCTTCAGCTTTAGCTGCCTTATCTTCTGCATTCAATCCATCTTCTGCCAAACCAACCCCATCGGTAATGAACTGTATATGCCACTTAAATTTGCTGAATTCTCTCTCTCTCTCTCTATATATGTATGTATAGTTTAGACTTCTTATGCGACTTAACTTTTCGTGAGCTCTTTTCTATATCTTTTTTTTTCTTTCTACTGTATCTACTTTGAAGTCTCGATTAATAAAAACTGAAAAGGAGCTAGTAAGTTGAACCTGTTAATTCCTTCTATTTTAGCTGTCTAGTAAGTTGAACAAGACTATTCGCTGTCTAATACGGGAAAAGCATTTTTGCTTTATGGCTGTCTTTCATTCAAAACTTCAAATGCTGTCAATTTTATTCTTATGTTTAGTTCTTTGATATGGTTATGCACCTTCCACTTGAAGCCCCTACTTTACAAATGGTAATTTTATCAAAAGTTATCACAGTTATGTCATCTTTACCTGCCCTTATTTTGCGTATCTCTCTTCTTTGATATGCTCATGTACCTGCTACCTGAACCCAATCTGACATTAGGTTTTCACTGCAGAAAATGTAGTGTTTTGAGTTATCCCTTGTACTAGTTTTTTTTTCCTTTTTCTTTTTATCTTGTGAGTTATGAAAAAGATTGTTTGCTGCAATTTGATTTAAGTTTTGCCTATTTTGCATACACTAATTCATTAGTTTTGAAAATTGACACTAGAGAATGGTGAAAATTGATATCCACCATATTATCAGGAACATAGGAGAACCATTTTATAATGTACTTTCAGGAACCACAAAGAAAGTCGTGGCTTTTGATTAGCCTTATTGCCTAAGCAAGATATCTAGTTGTTTACGTCATACTGGCCGGAGAAGGGGACTTCTTCCAGGATCTCACTACACACGGGTGAATCCTCTTGTACAACCTGTTAATTACACCGGCTACTGCTCTTCGCCCAAATCCGAAGGGGTGAGCAGACCAAAAGCCATCACAACCCTTAATTTATCATTAACGATAATTAGAGATATACTCTAATTTGACGCATGTCTAATGTATTATACTATTATTTGCTTTGATGTATATTATTATTATGGCTGATTTGTGCCTGTATTTTGAGAATTCAAGGCATTTGTTACACTGCTTATGAGTTAAGGATTTGATATGTGCCATTGTTGCAGTCCCAGGCTCGATCCAATGGAAATAATGGTGGTCCTACACAAAGAGCATCAGCTCTAGCTGCCTTATCATCTGCATTCAATTCATCATCAGCAAGCAAAAAGTCAGCTCCAAAGCCTTCCAGCACGGGTCAGGGTTCACAAAGGGCAGCAGCTGTAGCTGCTCTTTCTGCAGTTCTTACTGCTGAAAAGAAGACGCAACTGCAGGATGGATCCCCTGCAAAATCCACTAGCAGCACTCCTGCTGTATCTACCCCACCATGTAAGAACCCGTGTACTTTGGACTAGGAGATATCTAGAAAACAGAAACCGTTGCTTTAAGCTGGTCCGCAAGTAGTTGCTAAATCTTCCTGATGCCAGCATCTTTATTGAATTTGACCTCATATTTTTCATATAATTGTGAAACTGTCTGATGGCATTGAGATTCTACAGCCGAAACAAAAAGTGAAGCAGACCCTTCTGAAGTTGAGAATTCTAAGGAGGTTGCCAAAGCCAAGGAGACAAGTGTAGCACCTGAAACCAATGGGGAGGATTCAGAACCAAAGCAAAAGATACAGCTGGATGAGAATGGTACATATAGTTATGAGCAGCTGAAAGCCATATCTGGTTCTGCTGTAACCGGAATCGATCTCAAACGGAAAGAGGTTTGTTCTGACATCAATGTATCGATGTTTCTAAGTTAACTCTTTATTTACTTTCCCCGAACATATTGCTCTTATTGTTTGATTTCTCAGACTTATCTGTCGGATAAGGAGTTCCAGATGGTTTTCGGTATGGATAAAGAATCATTCTATAGATTACCAAAGTGGAAGCAAGACCTGAAGAAGAAGAAAGTTGATCTATTCTAAGAATTCCAGCAAGTGATTATGTGCTTCATCTGCATTCTGACTAGCAATCCGTCATTTATTTTGATCTCGAATTCTGTTCGGAAAATTGTGTTGTCGATGGTATATGGTTCCTGGATTGGTATGTCTTAGCATCCAAGATTTGATCATACGATGTTGTCTAAAAGAGATATTTTTGGGGTTTTCTTTTTCCTACCTTCTCACGGTGATCACACACATGGTAGACAAGGACAGCTTTGGCATGGCATGCCAGCATTCTTTCACTTGGTTTGCCATGTATCTCCATAATCTTTGTTTCTTATTCAACTTTCATTTATTTTATTTTCCGTTGTTTTGATTTGTTAAAAGGAAGGTGATGTATAAGATATTGCATTTGTATTGAACTCCAATAAAAGTAATGAAAATTCATTGTTTGAGAACCTATTGATTCTTTTTATTTTAGATTGTCATGTGAATGATAAATTGATTGAATTTTTTCTGTTCTTTAATTGTGAATGAAATTATTTTATATAAAAATACATATTTTAATTGAATTTTTTAGTTATTTTATTTAAAGAAAATATTAATATTGTAATATACGAAATAAATATATAAAAAAATAACTCATTATTAATAGTTTGATATATAAACTGTAAATTTAAACATTTTTATATAATTAATATAAATATTTATAAAATATATTTAAAAATACCACCCACCATATTTTTCTTCTCATTATTGCAAAACTAATTAACAAAATCTAGAGAAATATAATTCTACAAATAGAAAAGAAAAGCAAAAAAATATACATTTTCTAAAATTTTCCCTAATATTATTTTATTTTGCTAGCAATCCCTATCTCTGTTTTGAAAACCGGACCGGACCGGCCGGTTTAACCGGGAACCGTTGCTTAGTCCGGTTCAATCTAAACCGGTTGAACCGCTATTAGTGAATCGGCCAGAACTGCTGAACCGTTCGAACCGGACCGGCAGAAAACCAGTAAAAACCGGAAAAAACCGGGATTTTTGTTTTTTTTAAAAAAAAATTAAACCAAACAACGTCGTTTGTTAAACGAGCCAAGTCGAACTCGAGTATTGTTGAGCTCGACTCGAACTTGAAAACTTTAAAAGTAAGCTCAACTCAACTCAAACTCACAAGCTAAAAATTATCAAGTTCAACTCAACTCAAACTATAATATTGAAACTTGAACTCAAAAAGGCTTGAACTCAAAAAAAAAATTAGAAGATCGATTGAAACCTAAAATTCGAGCTTGATTGAAGTGAAAGAATAGTTATATAATTATAGTTATATAATTTTGTTATAATTTTTTTAACCCCAAATTTATTTTTTTAATTATAGTTATATAATTATATTTATTATTTAATATGTTTTACCTTAAATATTATGTTGTAGTTAATTTGAATCATTTTGTTTCACTTGATTTTATGGTTTTTAACTTATATATATTTATGACTTGCTTTGAATATGACTTGTGATATAAAAAATTATTTTTTATTAAATATTTTTAGTATTTTTATTTAATTTTTAAATAATTATGACGTCGTCCGGTTCTTCCGACCGGTCGGATCGGTTCGACCGATTGAACCAGTGAACCGATAGCATAACCGGTTCGCTAACCGGTCCGGTTATGAAAACCATGATCCCTATAAACAGAAGATTCTACTTCAATTAAACATATTAGCTTCGTAATAACGGAATTACTATTACCACGGTGGATAATTGAATAATCTGAAGCTGTGTTGGGACTCAATCCCATGACTGAACTAGCTTCCTGAATTGACTCGGTTGATGTAATCAAATTTATATTCTTCAGTATGTGCCCGTTGTCGACGAGTTCTCTCAAAATTCCTGACTCAGGGATGGAACTTCTCTTCTTATGCTGCATTGTAGCCCTGACAATCTCGGTCAACATCGCATTGCTTAATCTTCGAATTCCCCTAGCCCCACCCATCAAAATCCCCGGGTTAACAAGGTGAGAGACTGAGTTTTCTCCGAGTTCCGCTTGCTATGCTTACCAGAGCTGCTTTCCTTCGTTAATATGTAAAACGACTCGGGGCTCCGATTCCTGACACGGCCAAGCGGGTCACTCAGTAACATTTAACTTTTAACATCCAATAACATTCCATGCTTGAAATTTCGCCGAAGCCTCCCTAATAGCATCGGATAACAAGCCCATCTTCTCAAACTCATCGGAACGTGATCTAGGTACCCAGCTCGCGAGTTCACAGGAGTCAACTCATTCATATCAAACCCCACAACCGAGCCATATGTCAACGGAGTTGACTCACCACCTTCAACTTCAGTTGAATTAGTTTAACTTCCTCGGCCCTTCTTTCCCCAAATAGTCTCCTTTACATCTTTCTTCCCAGATTTCCAAAACCGGGTCGAGTCAAAACTCAAGACCGAGTCAAGTAAACCCTTACTACCACTCGAGTCGTCGTAGTGTCGAATGAGTTTGAAGAAGGACTCGTTCTCTTCCTCAATAACAAAGCTGAATCTTGAAGCTAAGGAAGAAGATCCGAAAAGGAAAATAGTGTCGGCTCTCGAAGTGACGCCCGACCTATGCAAGACAATCAAGAAAAGCCTGAGATCATCTTCGTTCACAACTTCAATAACATGGCCGACAACAAGATCATTCATGGCTTTCGTCCCGCGTCTATACAAAATTCCCATCCCTTGTAAAGAGAAAGAAGCACGGGGTTTTTTAGTGCGCTGTAGGGGTTTATGACCCCACATTGGAAAGAACCATTGGGAAGAAGAAAGTTGGGGGTTTTGGGACAAGATTCGACGAGGGGCGGCTTTAATGGCTGGTGGGGTTCGAGTGGAGGGTTCAAAGGTAGAGAGCGCGAAGAGGAGAAGGGTGGGCAGAAGAAAAAGGGCACAGATGAAATGATTGATAAAGCTTTGGTGAGAAGTAGACCGGAGCTTGTTCTGCGAGTGGAATTGGCGATTTTGTTTTGGTCATCGGAGAAGAAGTCGAGGAGTAAACCCATGGCGCCCCTGCTTTCTTTGTTCGCTTTGGGGTTTGGCTTAGCTGAGAAACACATGCATGTGTTTGCTTCTCATTAATAATGCATCGGAGGATGTGAATGCATGCATCTCTTCCAATCTTATCCCTATTCAACCTTCCAATCTTATCCCTATTCAACCTTCCAATCAAACCAAAAGTCAACGCCCTTCTCTTGGCAAAAGTGCTCATATAAGGTATAAGAGAATGTTTATTTCTCAAACTAACGCAGACGATTAATTCTCCAAATGTGGTGATTGTTATAGGAATACATGCAGTGTGGTCTTTAGGGTTGGATTAGTTTCTCGATATTTTTAGGGTGAATTCATCCGGGTTTAAAAAAGAAATTGGTGTTTTTACACAAATATCACCTTAATCGATATTAATTACTTGTTAGACACTATTTAAGAATATTTTATGGATTTAATAAATTTTTAAATACTTTCTATAAAATTATTCTTACATTAATTACCCAATACAATTATGTCTATCAATTACCACTTAACACATTCTGATGCGTTTTTGACCCTTTCAAAATCTTATACGTATAGTATATTCTAGGAAATCTTTGAGGGTAAGTAATTTAAAATATAAATAATTTTATAAAATATTACGGATCATCATCATCATCATTTTGAAAAATAATTTTGCAGAAAGACGCGGCACATGCACTGCATAGGATTATGAAAGAGTAAAAAACGCATCAGAAAGTGTCAAGTGGTAATTGGTAGACATAATTGTATTGTGTAATTTAATGCAAGAATAATTTTATAGAAAATATTAAAAATTTGTTAGACCCGTAAAATATTCTTAAATAGTGCCTAACAAGTAATTAATTTCTGTTAAGGTGATATTTGTGTAAAACGTCAACTTCTTTTTCCTGCTAAATACGCCCAGATTTCAACAATGGAATTCACCCTAAAAACGCCGAGAAATCTAATCCAATCCTAAAGACGCCGAGAGATCCCAAACATTGCATGTAATCCTGTAGAAATCATCTCATTTGGGAAATTAATAGACTAACTGCATTAGTTTTGAAAATAAACATTCCCACATGCCTTATATGGGCACTTTTTGCCCCCTTTTCTTTTCTTATTTGTAATTTGGATAACTCTTTCTTTGTTTTACTATTACACTATTATTAAATGGCGTTTTTATTAAAAAAAATCTTTAAAATTCATTTTTAGATAAATAACCCCGAAACAGAATTAATTGGAAAAATTCTCCCAAATTTTAAGATTACCTCTTACAAAACGTTTGTCAAGACCTTGAGTTCTATAGGGCGTGAGACTCCTTCAACGTGGAAACACTTTTCAGATAATAGAATTTAATATGTCTGTAAATGTCCTCGCGTCATACAAAACACAAGTTGGTACATGAGATATTGAATCGTTTCAACAATTTATCGCATTCATGATTTAAGCCACCTCGCCTTCTACAGAACATGAGGTATATACATTTCCAGCCCGCACAACAAGTGTTTATAGGCATGTTCAAGGGGGTATTTTCGGGTAGTTAGTCTAAAATTTTTCGTAATTTATAAGATTAGAGGCATAATATTGAAATTTATATTTCAGTTGAGGTCAATATCAATACATACGAGATATTATAAGCGGGTTAAAAATCGTGTTAAAAAAGTTCCAAAGCTTGTTTTGTGCATTAAGACAAAGCTAAAATGGTTTGATAGACATGTTCAAGGTTTGTTTTGTAGTTAATATGAAAATTTTCGTAATTTTTAAGATTAGAGGCGTAGTATTTGTACTTATCTTTCAATTGAGGGTAATATCGACACATATGAGACATTGTAAGCGGGGTAAAAAAAACATGTTCAAAATTATTCCAAAGCTTGGTTTTGTGCATGAAGAAGAGGCTAAAATAGCTTGATAGGCATGTTTAGGGAGTATTTTCGGGTTTAGAAACGAGTCGCCTATCCAATATTCTATTCTACTAGAACACCCACAGCAAATGATGAAGCGTCCAATTAACATTTGTCTTCCCTTATCGAGTTAAGCGATGCAATTCGTCTAAGTCTAGTGGTGATGGTGGACTCACTTGGACACAGTTAAATTGTCGTAACATGCAATCGGTAGGATGCCACTCAACTATCTCATAGAGTATAATTGAGACCATCAGTATCCTAACGCCCAAACTGAGATATATTTCACTCGGAGTACACGATGTAATATCATGATCATTACATGACGTCCACATGAACTACAAAAAATTGATCTAAGTTAGATAATCTCAAATTAAAAAATGATTTTAAATCAAAAAATAAAATTGATTAAAATAACTACCTCATATGTCATCTTATTAATTAACAATCTAAAGTTAAACAGAGTTTATCATTCACATAACAAAAAAATATTTTTTCTCATATTATAAAAAAGTATAATAATATAAATATAAACTTG